CCAGGCACCGCCAGCCCCCTCCCCGCTGTCGGCCCCCTCCTGCCCATCTTCACCAGGGCGATGGGCTCAGTGGCAGCGCTCCAGGCACCACGTGGCCCCATGAACGAGCCACGCTTCAGGGTGTGCAGGGCGCTTTTTGACACCAGGGAGAGAAGGAAAGGCTCTGGCAGGGCATGGACCCTCCAACGGCAGCACAGCCCCTCAGGCGAGGGGTGTTTTGAGCCCGCAGGGTGGATAGAAAGGGGCTGATGGCCCCTGCCCTGCTGACAGCAGGGATTCAGGGCTTGGGGTGCTGCATGCACCCCGGGAGTGGGGACTAAGCCTCCGTCGCAGCTCAGGACAGCGCGTGAGCACCAGCTCCACTGCAGGGGCAGGCAAAACTGGAGAAGTTTGCCTGAGCCAGCCATGGCTCGGCCACCCTGTGCCTTCCAAGCCGGGTGCGGGCGTGGGGCTAAGGGGGACCCCTCTCTCACCTGGCTGGGGGTGCCCAGGGGAGGCAGAGGGGCTTTCCTCTTCCTTGGGGTGCTGCTCTTCTCCCTGACAGATGACTGGCTGGGTGAAGATGTCTGCGGAGACACCAGGGCAGAGGGGACATCACATATAAAGTGGCCTCCCTCCTTCCTGACCCATTGCCACCTTGGAGAACCCCAGGGCTCTTGGGGACCCCCACCCAGGGGGTGGGGCCAGGCCAGCCGTGATGAGAGGTGGGCAGCCAGGCAGACCCTCACCTGGGACGTCTGCTCAGTTGACTCCTCTTCTGTAGGGCAGAGCGGGAGGAAAAAGAAATTGGAGAGGTTTAGGGGATCGTAGCGGTGGGCACAGCAGGCAAAGCCTGTGTGGGTGCAGTGGCACCTCTGAATGTGCTCATACAGGGGTGGGCACTCAGGCGGCACACACACACACACACACGTGTGCACAGGGGGGCACATGTGCGTACAAGGGGCACACACGCAGACAGACAAATATGGGGATATGCATGGATACACGTGTGCAGAGAGACACATGTACACAGATACGCACACACAGACACATGTACAAACAGGCTGCCTGATACACATGTGCACTTACACCCCCATGCATGTGAACATGTGCGTCTAAGGATGTGCAGACACTGAGACAGGCAACCGAGGCTCAGCACCACCTCCCAGCCCTCGGCCGGTGACAGCATGGGCAAAGGCACCCCCAGTGCGTGGGAGAAGGGGACACCTGCCCCCCAGCCTTGCTCAGCCTCTTCCAGCCATGGCTTAGACAGCCCTGCCCCAAAGCACCCCGCAGGGTGAAAACACCCCCAGGGGTTCATCCCCTGCGGACGAGGAGCACCAGGGTGGCACGGCTGCCTTACCGCTGGCCCAGGACCGGCGCTGAGCAGCTTCTTGCAGGAAGTGCTGGATGAGAGCATTGCCCGTGGCCAGGCTGTAGTGCACGGCATCATGACCCATGGAGTCCACCACAGCCACCCGGGCACCGGCGTTGATGAGCACCTCCACCGTCTCCACGCTGCCATTCTCGCAGGCCAGCATCAAGGCTGTCCTGAGCAGAGTGATGAGAGCAGAGGTGAGGGGGCCCATTCCCTCCATCTCCCCGTCTATCCCCAGTCCCCAGCAGTGCAGACTCACCTCCCCTGCAGGTCCCGGCTGTTGAGAGCCGCGCCACGGTGCACCAGGTACCGGCACAGCTCCGAGTGGCTCATCTTGGCAGCAAGGATCAGCGGTGTGTAACCATCCTGGGAAGGGTCAGGTTGGGTGAGGATGCGCAGATGAGGCTCAGATCCTCCCATGGGGCACCCTGCCTCCTGTTATCTCCCAGATTTCCACATCCCACTTCATGGTGTGTTTTCACCCCAGGAAGCCCAGGTACTGCCAGCTGCTGCGTTCCAACCCAGAAGCTGCTGCATTTCAGAGGCAGCCCCAGCCTGGCCCCTTGCTGCTCTGCACAGCACAGCAGGGTGAGGGATCTCACCTTGTCCTTGATGTTCAGGGGAGCCTTGAAATCACAGAGGATCTCCGAGCACGAGATGCAGCCGCTGACCGCTGGGGAGAAGGACAGAGGCTGAGCGTTCTGCCTCCCATGGGGACATGAGCAGGACAGGGCTGGCACTGTCCCCACTCACCTGCGTGGTGCAGCGCTGTTCGACCGTTGCCATCAGCCACGTCCACAGGGCAGGAGGCCTGAGGGAGAGAGCCTGGGTTACAGGAGGACCGGGGACAGACAGACTGCTCGAGTGGACGTGGCTCCTTGGCATGGTGGAGGGCTAAGCAGGTGCCTGGCAGCACCACACAGTGCCGGGCAGAGCTGGGAACCACCATGCCAACCAACACCACTGGAGAGAGAAGGGAGTTCAAGGACAGAGAGGACACCTTGCTGGTACAGCACCCTCCCTTCCTCGCAGCACCGTGCTCCCAGCCCCGGTACCTGCAACAGCTTGCTGACGCACTGTGGGTGGCCGTGCTTGGACGCCAGGTGCAGGGCAGTGTAACCTGGGGAGAGGGACAGACGGACGGGTCAGAGAACAGACAATGGGTCTGTGGCAGAGGGGACCGGCTGGGTGACAGACGGGCAGACAGGAACTTCTGCTGGACTGGGGCTGAATAGGAAGGGGACATCCCCAGGAGCACCATTGGTCAGTGCTTGAGTCCCTGTAGGAAGCTGGGACAACTTCCAGCCCCATAGGTGTGGCTGTCACCTCTGTCCCCTCAGCCTCAACACCTGCCGGCAGAATAGGAACAACCAGGGAGCGCGGGTGGCCCTGGCTGGTTCACGGCGTTAGCCAGAGGCACGTGGCGGCCATGCCCTTACCCGAGCTATCCTTGGTCATGGCATCCACGCCGTGAGCCAGCATCACTTCGAGGCAGTCCACGTTCCCCCGCATGGCGGCCAGGTGGAACCTGCAGCAAGACCTGGGGCTGTCAGACTCATGTCCCTTGTCCCCAGCCCCGCATCCCCGGTGTCCCGGGGACGTGGGTCAGCACTTACGCGGATTTGCCCTCCGAGTCCAGCTTGGTGGGGACCAGGCCCTTGCGGACGAGGAGAGATGTCACCTTCCCCGCATCGTTGTAGTCTACAGCTTGCAGGAGCTTCTCATCGTTCTTGGTCCAGTCCTGGCTCTGCAATGAAGCCAAGAGGAGGCTGTGACGGGTATGCCATCCCCGGGGATGGGCAGGGTGCTGGGCTAGGCTCAGGTGCCTGTCCTCATCCCCATCCCTGCTATCTTCCACCCATCCCTGTCCCTTGGGGTGGTCATCTCTGGGCCAACCCCTTTCCCGAGTGCTGTGGTGTCTGGCCCCCAGGTATGGCGGGTTTAACTGGTACAGCTGACCAGGATGAGGATCCCCTTCAGCATCCCGTCCCCCCCACATTTACAGAGCTGCCCTGGTTGAACTGTGGATGGGCCAGGCTGTGACCAGCCAGGATTTGGGAGCGAGCCGACACTGCCTGGTTGCCCTTGCCCCAGGGTTTGCCCCTGCCTTCCCAGTGACCCCAATGCTAATGCACCCCACGAGGTGCCTGAGCCCCATCCCCACCCAGGCCTCCCCATTGAGCCCGTTCCCAGCCCCGCTTTGTCCCCACCAAGGAAGGGACCAAGCCAGGGCAAGCACAGTTGGCAGGCTCCAGCCTTCCTGGGATATATGGGGCACAGTGCTCTCCCTGCCCCTGTGCAGGTTTGGGGTTGGATGGGGCCTTGCTGACCCAGTGGTCCCGCACGTCCCCATCCCGAGGGAGCGACCAGCACGGGAAGCCCTGGGTTCACCCCACAGCCCGTGACGACAAACCGGAGCTCGCTGCGGCCGCAGTGGCAGG